GCACTTGTTGTTGGCCTTGCCCTTGGCCTGGAAGAGGCACTTGCTGCAGTTGCCCATGGCCTTGGTATCCTTGCCCCTGACCTGGCACTTGTTGTTGCCCAGCTCCCATGGTGCCTTGCCCTTGGCCTGGAGGAGGCACTTGCTGCTGTTGCAGTTGCCCATTGCCTTGGTGTCCTGGCCCCTGTCCTGGCACTTGTTGTTGCCCAGCTCCCCTGTTGCCTTGTTGAGCCTTCTGCCTTGTTTCCTCCTCACCAGGCCTCACTGCAAGGGAAGCTGCATCCCAAATTTGAAAGTTGTATTGATATGGGGATGGTGGAGGCAGTGGTTGTTGTTGCCTTTGCTGCTGGCAGGCTGCCATGTTACCTTGCACTTGCTGGTTGTGACTTGGCACTTGCTGTTGCTGCCCAGCTCCAAGGTTGCCTGGCCCTTGGCCTGGAAGAGGGGGTTGCTGCTGTTGCCCATTTGGTTGGCTCTGCGCCCACTGACCTGGCACTTGCTGTGCTGGCTGCCCAGCTGGAATGTGCACTTGCTGCAGTTGCCCACTGGCTTGGCTTTGTTGCCACTGACCTGGCCCTTGGCCTGGAAAATGCATTTGCTGCTGTTGCAAATTGTTTTGGCTTTGTGGCCACCCTGGCTGTGTTGGTTGTGGCTGTTGCCCATGCACAATCCCTCCAGCCCCCATTCCCTGAGGTTGTCCTTGATGTGGCCATGATGGTTGTTGTTGCTGTGCTCCTTGTGATTGGCTTTGGTGTGGATGGTGCTGTGCATCCTCTACAGCTTTGCTGATGGCTTGCACATCATAGCCCACCCTCCCACCATGCCTTGCCACATACTGGCTGAAGTCTATGATGTCTTTGAGGCTGTTACCCTGGTGCTCATCCCCAAACCCCCACATCCTTCCAACATCCTGCTCTAGGAATGCACTGAAGAAGGGGTGCTGTTTTGCAATGTCAACTGCTGACTGCACCACGCCTTTGGCAGTGGGGGGGCAGGGGGTGGTGTCTTGGCTGCCCATGAAACATTGATGTGATTTGCAGTTGCTTGGGTGTTGGCATCTGGACAGATTCCCCTCCTCAATCAAATGTGTACTACAGGTATAGGACAAGTATGCTTTGCAAATGGTGCTCACACACACATACCTTTCACTCAATAAAACAGTCCTGGCACCAGATACTGCTGCACTGTGGGCTGCTGCCCAGGAGAAGACTGCACAAGAGAAATTCCCACACATCTGGCTCCCCCACAACAAGCACAAACACTGTTCTGCAAATATTCTTTTTTGCTGCCCACACCTCCATCCCTGAAGCCCTGCTGGAAACTGACAGCTGATCATTATTGGCTGAAGATGGTGCTGTAGTGCTGTCACCTCCCCCATGACATTGAATGTTTGGTGAGGTGGGTCAACAAAAGCACAAACCATATCCATCCACACAAATGAACTTCTGCATTTCAAACCATAAGCTACTCCTCCACCATGCATCATCAGCTCTGGCTTGTTGGGCAGTTGCTTCATCAGGTTTGAAATTTGCAATGCCATCCAATGGTCTCCCATGCCTCCAAGCACAGCTCACCACTGAAGCAAACATTCTTAAACAAATGAATTGCACCCCCAAGAAATGTGCCTTGGCATGTCCTGATGTAGGTAGCTGCCCACTTCTGCTCATGGTTGACCAATGCATTCTCTGCCTTACAAAGATTTGGTGAAAGTCACATGCCTGAAGCCTGAAGCCTGAAGCCTGAAAGCACAAGACTCAAACACAGCCACCATCTACCTCAGCTTGCATGATGCCCAGGTGCAATCTTGCCAAACCAGTCATGAACACCTGTGGGTGAAGTGAACAGCTGGTCCAAGCTCATGGTCACCCTGGGCCAGGACATGCATTGTTTGCTGTCTTCACCATGCATACATTATTGACCACAAAACCAAAGCCTAGCAAACTGGACAACACCCCCAAACATCTTGCCAAGTAACTCACAGCTCAATGGTGTCTGTGGCAGTTTCAGCATGTACTTGCCATCCCTGTACACCATAGCCACTGGCACCTGGCCCAGGGAGACCTTGTGCACCTCTCCATCTGCATTCTCCACCACCATGGTTCCATCTGACCTCAATGTACCCCCCTTCCCATTCCAACTAGCAAAGTTCCATGCACACTACTTTCTGGCTTGCTTTCCTCTGGCCATTTCACATTGCATGAACATTTGCCAAGCTACACCCTCTTGGCCACATAGGGTGGTTTCTGCGCATGGTCAATCTCAGGTTGCTGAGCTTGCTGACCACCTTTCCTTCTTTTGTCCTTGTCCAGCTGGTGCTTCCAGCCCATCTGAGCAGCAAGAATCTCCACATTCTCAAAGTCATCCTGGTGGGAATGCCAACTCACAGCTGCAGGCTGATGGGTGTAAGGTGAGACTTGCTGGTTAAAAAAGTGCAAGCTTTTTACAGTGACATGACATTGGACTGGGCATGCAGTGGCCTTCAAAGCCTTCAGCAACTCCCCTTCACTCATCTTCATTCTCCTGTCATAGCTCTCTTTCAGGCATCGCAGCCTGAGTTCCAAAAGCCCCACACCCATCACAAACCTCCCAACCACAATTCACAACAACTTGCAACAAAATGATGACCAATGTTCAGGAGCCAAATGACAGGTCTCCCCTGTTCCTGCATCCAACCAATTCCTTCACCCTGGTTCTTGGCCCTAGGCCAGTGCACATGAAGCATAGCTGCTCAAGGTGGAGATCTGCCAGGCCACTTGTAACACCTCACAGACAGTGACACTGACACCCAAACCAGGAAATTGAGACAACAAACAAAACTGGTGCCTTGCAACTGGTATGCAAACTGCTCTGGCATGCAAGTGGAACAAACATAGTCATAGTCATTACATTACTGTTTGCATCCAGTCAGAGTGGCTAGTGTGGAATTTGTGGTTGTCAAAATGCTGCAGCTGCCTCATCTTCTCCCTCCTGGGGAGGCAATTCCTTGGGTCACAAACTGCATCCAAACTATATCATCAAGTTTCAGTAGTAGTCAAAACAACATTCAAACTCACACCCATCATATGAAACCACACCTAGTTTCTTTCTGTTTTTCCTCTTTCCTGAATCAGCCTCATCAGATTCCTTGAAGTCTGGTCCCAGGTATGTCCAATGCCTTAGATCCATTCCTGCTTGCCACTCATGCGTCCCAAAGTGAATGTGCAACACATATGCAGTAGTTTGCTTCACACTTACACACACCCACAAGACAATACCAGTACCAGGGTGCACTGACAAAGCCATTGCATTGATTTGCTCATTTGAGAGGCCAACATCATCACTGCTGTTGTCACTCTTGCCAGAGGATGTGGAACCTGGTTTCACCCAGCAACAGCCAAGGTCAGATTTATGTAGCACAGCAAAGGCACAACAAATTCCACAAACTTGTAGTTGCACAGCTGTCCAAATATCACAAGAAAGGAACGCTTTCTTTTCTTGGCTTTCTTACTTTTCTTACCCTTCTTTTTGTCCTTCTCTTCTTCTTTTTCTTCCTTAGATTTGTTCATTGCAATTGGAAATGAAACCATGTACTCTGTGAGCTTGCACCAATAATGGCAGACAAATGTCACATCAGGAGAAGAGGAATCTGATTCCTCTTCCTCTAGCTCCTCAGGCCCATCATCATATGGAATCATCTGTCCCTGGCCAGGGCCATAGGATCCTGCTGAAGCTGAAGCAGGGCCACCCAAGCTCTGCCTAAATGCATATCCAGGCAACTGCAACAGAGCTACACAATGATTCATAACAGCAATAGCAATGGCTACAACCATACAGAGTTTCAACAACATACCATCTCAGGATACAAGCTAAGCTGCTGCTGCTGGTGCCAGAAATCTGGAGGGGGAGGAGCTTGATAGGCCCATTGAGGCACTCTATTCCCACCCTGCTGTGGAAATGGATGCCTGTAATCACTTGGTAGTGATCGCTTCCCAGGTACACCCAGTGTTTTTTTGCCCATGGCCTCTTGCCTGGGCCTGGGGCACCCTGAGCCCCTTGCAGCTATTGCAGGCAGTTGTTGGTGAAAAGTGGATGTGTTGGGGTTGGCCCCCCCCCCCCACAAGTTAGAACCAAACCAACCCACCATAATCACCACCATGGAATGATTCTTGAACAGTGGGTGTGTAAACTTGTTGGGGCTGGCTCTCCACAATGCAGAACCACACCAAAACCAGCAACCCATTAGGAGACACTACAATGGCAATCACAATGGCATCATTCTTGTTGGGTGGTGCAAATTGGTCACAGTGGCACCCTTGGTAGATTGTTGTTATGGAGGTGAAAGAGGCTTCTTCAAGAACTTTCCATGGTGAACAAGAATAAGATGAATACCTAATGACCACTTGGGTTCTTCATGGATCTCCCAAATACAACAGTGGTGGTGCATTTGCACCACATCC